GACAGCAACTTGTCTGTTCCGATTCCCCAACGCTGTTCCCCTCCCCGAATTCCCCAATAAAATCTTAAAAAAAAAAAAACTCATAGAGACAAAAGTATGGTGATTACCAGAGGGAAAGGGGGTCAAATATATGGTGACGGAAGGAGATTTGACTGTGGGTGGTGAACACACAATGTGATATACAGATGATGTCTTATAGAATTGTACACTTGAAACCTATATAATTTTATTAACCAGTGTCACCCGAATAAATTTAATAAAATTTTTAAAAAAGGAAAAAAATAAAAGAAGAACAATTGTGCCCAGTGTTGGAGAAACTGATGCTCTAATGCCAATGTCTGTTGGAGCAATTTTCCTGAACAGAAAAATGGAAGTATGCATCAAGTGCAGTCATGGTCCTCCTTGGTTTATGTTAAACCAAAGGTAAACCTGCTTGGTTACCCCAAGAGTGCCTCTTGGTTTTAATATCCACACTTCATAAAGCTTATGTACATGTATCTCTCTGTATGACGTTTTTCTACTGACATGTTTGTAGAAAAAAAATTAGTTAAATCCTCAAAACATAATACAACAGTTTAAATAAAACTATATGCAGAAAACGTCCTAAGTTACATTCCAACTATTGGGTTGTCGGAAAAGTCATGACACATTTTTGCAACGAAAAACATAGAAAAAAAATATGTCATGACTTTTCCGACAACCCAGTACCATTGGTAAAATGTCACAATCCCTTGTGAATATTTGGAATGTGTGTCCCAGATGCTGCTGGCTCTGAGTTATCACGGAGTATGTAAGCCGTACTCTACCGCCTACAGCTGTCCCAAACACATTGTCATTGTCTTGCATATTTATCCCTTGTTTCTGCCTAGGGTTTTACAATAAATCCAGCTGAGAAAGTTCACATGGTACACTGTATGTTTCTGGTACAATTTGCAAAGTGTATGTGTTGCAATGCATAGAACCACTGTTTTTTTACAACTGTATTAATTGTTGGGTGATCATGAAGTGATGTTTTAAGTATTTAACTTCTAGCATAATGGTTTGTTGCATACACACATGCACACACACAAATACATATACACATATATACATATATGTATTTCTATGTATACATATATATGTATTTTATTGTTTTAAAAACTTTTGGGGTTACACATTATAATTTTTTTCCCATTTAAAGTAATTGGAAGTAGGCTGCTACTTAGCATCTTTACAGTGAATGTCTGATTTCCAGGAACGAATTACTGATATTCAATAGGAGATGCCTGTGCTTTTAAAAGTTCATACAATTTAATCATTCCTAGTTTTTTTTTAAAAAAAGGGAAAAAATCATAAAAGATGCATATATAGTAGGATGTTCATCACCGCTTTATTTTACATTACAAAACTTTGGAAACCTAAATGGTTAACAATAGAGTATTTGTTAAGTAAATTCTAGTAGATCATATAATTATATCCTATAGTCATTTTAATCATGTTTTTAAAGAAGTTTAATTGCATGGGAAAATTTTTGCAATATAATAGTAAGTACACAAGAATCAAAACAAAGTATAAAACATGATGCAACATTTGTAAGAGACAATATTTATATATGCAGAGAATAAATACCCTAAGAACTTATAGTAAAGTGTTAGTGGTTGTCTCTAAGAGGGCTATGGATGAGTTTAATGTTCCTGCTGCTGTTTTCATAGAAAATCTCATACTTTCTTTAGTGACAATGTATTACATGTATCATTTTTTTTTAAGATAGAATGCTGTTTTTAGAAAACATAGCAGGGGTTGAGGTGACTTTGGAAATGATAATAATAACAATAACAGCAACCACAGCTAACAGTTACATAGCACTTAACCACGTGCCAGGTAGTGAATGAAAACCAAGTTATGAGTCCACACTGAAATGTCCCTCACACCATCCATAATGCAGTCTCTGCCCAGAGGGATGGTTTCCAGTTTAGAAAATCCACTGAGAGCCAGAAGTGTTTAGGCAAAAGTCAGGAGGTAAACAAGCTGACTTCATCAGGCACTCACATAGGCCACAGGCAGTGTTTTGATGCTGAGTCGTGCAAAGAATATGGGATTTGAGAGCAGCCAGAGCTGGTTCACATCCTGCCTGTGCCATTGACTTCCTGTGTGGTCGGGAAGTAACTGAACCCTTCCGAATCTCAGCTTCCTCGTAAATTAGAGTAAGAACACCTTGCAGGGGGATCAGCTATCATGAGAATTAAAGGTGGCAGCATGTGAAAGTGCCTGACACATAGGAGGTGCTCAGTAAAATCGTTTCTCCCCTTCTTTTCAGTGCTGGTGACTGTCACTGCCTTCTTAGATCCTCTATCCTTTGTTGTTAGTCTTAATATATGGTTCCTGGTTTCTGCCTCAGTAAAAAAGGATGACAGCAGATAAGCAAAATTATGCTTGGTTTAACTTGCCCTGTGTACAGATAAATACTCATTAAGATCTGCTGTGTAAGTGAATGAGGAGTCAGAAAATGAAGCATTGAACAATGAATGACTGACTACGTGCCCCAAGAATGATGTTCTCCCACTGACTTGTCTGTTTTTGCCTTTTCAGCTTATCCACTCACCAAATGCCCTCCCCCCACCATCCTCCCCAATGCTGAAGTCGTCACAGAGAATGAAGAATTCAACATAGGTACCACCTCCCAATCCAGCAGGGGTGGGGCTGGCCAGGAGGGGCCAGGCAGAGGTGGGGCGGTGGGGACTGGCCAGCCAGGCTCATCTCTGCCTCTTATCCATGGAGAGAAACACTAGGCCCCGTGCAAGAGGGTTGGTTTTATGCCAACCACACTCACTCTCCCTTTTAGCCATACCTGGTCAGAGGAGCTAGGAAAGTCGCTTTCTTCTGCGATTCAAGTCAGTGTGTTTTGGAGAAATAAACACATGAATGACACTACAGACAGTTCCTGGAATGTGAAAACATTCTTAGGCTCAGCAAAGCTGAGCTGTCAGAGGGGAGCAGCCGTTGTCTGCGTCATTGGATGGAGCTGAGCGGGTTAATTAAGTCTGAACAGAACACAACCTGCCCCCAGTCGTCTCGCCTGGAAGTGGGTTTGCTGTACTAAGGGGTGCAGATCAGCCCCGCCCAGACCTCTCTGGGGAACCCCCATCTTGGTCTCTCTTTGACAGGTGACATCGTACGCTACAGGTGCCTCCCTGGCTTTACCTTGGTAGGGAATGAAATCCTGACCTGCAAACTCGGAACTTCCCTGCAGTTTGAAGGCCCACCCCCAATATGTGAAGGTAACTGCGCTGAGCCATGCCTTCATGGGTCTGGACTTCCCCCCAAACAGCCCTGCCGTCACACCTCTCCATATTCCTATTCCCTGCCCAGGGGGGAAGAGGTCACATGGTGAGTGTTTGTTTGAATGAATGAGTGAGCGAGTGTCCTCGCTGGGTTCTCTGCCCTGCTCCTGCGTCCAGGCCCGGGAATTGGCCACAGTGGCCACATTCATGTCTGTCTTCCTTTTTTCTAACTGTCATTCCCTGGAGGTGACCTACGGATCATTAGGAGGAGGGTGTTCTGAGACCTCGGGGAGGGGTGGTCACAACACACCAACCTTCCCTACTGGCCTGCCAATGAACTCAAGGTCCTGTGTGCTGAACCAGGCAACGGAGAGGCCTCTGCTGTCTTCACACCAGCACGATGCCTTGGCAGTAGATGGCTTCACTTCACCAGTTTGTCCCAACTAAGACCCAAAACAATACTCTCTTCTCATGAGGCACCTGACCTGGGGCAAGATACCTACTTGTCCTGTGCCTCCGTTTTTTCATCTGTCAAATAAGGATAATGATATTGCTTACGCTATGGGCTTATTATGAGGAAGTAAGTGAGTTAATCATGTAACGCTTAGTTAATAAGGTAACACTTTAGGACTACGCTGGCACGTAGTAACTACTCAGGGATGGCTCGCACTATTGTTCCTGGCATGGCTACTGCTTCTGACACTATTGCTGCCAACGGAGCTTTATCAGCCTATGGAGGGACAGGTCAGGCCCTCCCCCGCCTCTTGAAAAGCAGGAGCAGGAAGAATCTGCAATGTGGATTATTAGTGAGGAAGAGGGGAACCCCAAGCCCCAGAAGTAGGCTGCCCCAATACTGAATTGAGAAATTCAGTAACTGTTTCTTTCCATTGAGCTGACCCACCCACCACCAGTAAACGTGAACTTTAGCCCGCATTCTGCTCCTTGATCCGCTCCAGCTGGCCAGGACTGAGTCTCAGCAATATGGTTCCATTGACCCAGAAGCCGAGGTCGCCTCCTACCCTAGAGCAGCATAACGATGGCCGTTGGGGTCTTGTGTGACTGTGCTCACATACTGGCTTTCCAATGGTTGTCTTTTGCACCAGGGAAAAGCACGTGTGTGGGCTTCGTTCCTTTTCCGTCCCGTGTACCTGGTATTTCTCTTTCTTTCTCCAAGTGCACTGCCCAACAAATGAGCTTCTGACAGACTCCACAGGTGTGATCCTGAGTCAGAGCTACCCTGGAAGCTATCCCCAGTTCCAGACCTGCTCTTGGCTGGTGAGAGTGGAGCCCGAGTATAACATCTCCCTCACAGTGGAGTACTTTCTCAGTGAGAAGCAGTATGATGAGTTTGAGATCTTTGATGGTAAGTCATACACCGTATCATTCCCTGCTGCTTAGGAACCATAGGGGTCTATGCTGCAGCCTCCCAATTAGAGCTTCCCAGAGGCTCCACATGCTTTCTCTACCACAGAAACCCCAATACCACGGAAGCTGATGGGATGGGGCCCAAGCAGCAGGGCTGCTCACACTGCAGCCTGGGCCACTACAGAGCCCTTTCTTAATCCAGCCCCCCTCAAAGTTAGCACCTTGAATGTCAACCAATGAATGGGTCATACCGGTGCCCCCAAGGGAAGAGTGTGCTGCCTCCAAACCCCCAAGGAAGTCCACCAAACATCCTTCTTGGTGGTAGGAGGAAAAAGGTGCAAGAACTTACTCTTTAGTTAGGAGGAAATGTCTCAGCATACCGCAGACCTCTGGACCCTAAAACCTTCACCTGAATCTTTGTAGGATTGGTCTGTTACCGTCTAGAGTACATGTGTCTTGCAAAAGCATCTGCACTAATTGTCCCTTCTGGCTCATCAGATCCAATGAATACAGTGTCATCAATATAGAGAACCAATATGTCCTATAGGTTATCCAGATGGTCCACATCTCTTCATAGTCTATGATGGCAGAAAGCAGGGGAATTAACATAGCTCTGAGGCAAAACCATGAATGTATACTCTCGTCTATCTCACGTGAATGCAAACTGCTTATGTTCCTCCTTTCTAACGGGTATGGAGAAGAAAGCATTGCTAGATCCATAACTTCATTCCATGTAACTGAGGCTGTATTAATCTGCTCTGATGAGTACCCGTGACTGCAGTTGAGGCTACTACTTGGTTAAGTTTGTACTGTAGATTGACCTGGGCCAGGACTCCATTTCTTACCAACCCAGCCTTCAGACATCCCCCCTCTAACAAAGGAGCCACGATAGTGCTTTGGGTCCCCAGGTATCAGCATCAATTCACACTCTATCCAAAAGTCTTCGAAATATCTGGACGTTCCCTTTTCTCCAATATTCAGCTAGCTGAGTAAATAGTGGTAGGTCTTCTGGGGGGGAAGAATTGAAGGAACCACTACTATATACAATTGATGTTGTTTTGTAGGGTCCTTTTTTGTGGACACCCAGCCTCTGGTTCAGGTAAAATGTTGTGGAGTAAGAAATGAAACCTAGATTAAGTCTCCACATTGGGCAAGGGATTGTAACTTTCCACTGGGGTTAGCGTTCCTCACCCTTTTGGTTATATATTCATGACTTGTTTTGTTCACGTATTTATATTTTTTGGCTGCCCATCCATCTTGCCCTTAGGAATACATTGTTCTGTGAGCCATCTCCACAGATCCTACAGGTCAGGCCCTCCCAGCTGCCATTGCACCCTGGCTGTATATTTTGGTAATTATGCCTACCTCACTTCTGACTGTTAGGTGCTTCCACCTGGCCTCTGTATTCTAGAGCCTTCTCATCTCCATCAACACTAGGAAGCCAGGCTCTGTGGCAGCATCTCCTCCCATCAGTCGAGGAGAGCCATTTCTCAGGTTGTCGATGCTGCTGGTGCTCACCCCTCACCAGTGTGCTCCTTGTTGCCTTAGAACCTGGCATGTCCTCCGGGTCCTTCTGAGGAGCATGGTCAGCTAGTGGGCATTCTGGTCTGACACAGCAGACCTATCCTAGCGTGCCCCTTCCCTGCGCCTCTTGACCTCTTCCTTCATAGTTTGTCACAGCAATTCTGGTGGCTCTGCTTTCTCAAATGGGGCTGTTACTTCTGCCAAGCTTCCAAGAGCTGCCTCAGCAGCATATTAGAACCATCACTCAGGGCTCTTTCCAGGGTGATACGTCCTGTGTTTTGAATGATCCAGCTTTTGATTCTGCCTCTCTTGAACCAGCCCCCTCAGGATGCCTCCCAGGCCCTGAAGGTGGGAAACAGGAAGAGGGAGGCCTTTCTAGAAGAGCCTTGGAAAGGGGCGTTGGGGAACTATGTTATTTATGACATGGAGACCTGATGTTTTCTTCTAGCTTTATTGTTACAGATTCATTCATAAATATGTTTCTATATGGAAGATGCTGGACTGTTTTTAGTAGGCACAAGAGAAGCAGGGTGGCCAGGTGGAAGAAGTTCCCAGATTGAAACCAGCTCTTCCATTAACCAACTGCTTGACCTTGGGAAGACCCAAGATGGCAGATAGATTTCACCTCAACTGCCACCTGCTGTGGGTTGGCAGTGACTTCCTGGAGCACTGCTTTAGGGCTCAGGAGGACAGAGCCCCTAGAGCAGTGCCTGTGGCTGCAGAGAGAGGAGTAGGAGGACAAATGAGGATGCCGAATCTCACCAAGTCACCCCACCATCCCCAGCCTACGTGACTTGACTTAAGGAGGGGGAAAACAGGAGGTGGTTACATTAAAGGGCTCCAATCTAATATCTTTGATAGTCTGCAATCCTGTGTTCTGTACTCTCATTCCAGGCCCCTCAGGACAAAGTCCTCTGCTGAAAGCCCTCAGTGGCAATTACTCAGCTCCCCTGATTGTCACCAGCACCAGCAACTCTGTGTACCTGCGCTGGTCGTCTGACCACGCCTACAATCGGAAGGGCTTTAAGATTCGGTATTCAGGTGAGGAAAACATAAAGATTGATGAGAAGGGCCAAAGCCCAAGAGCCCCTTAAGTTTATCCCCCGAAACACCCAAATAAGCCATGGTCATGTCCTCATCGATGGCGGAGCTCCTCCACGGGGACTGCCCAGCCTTCTCCTCCTGTAAGTCTCTCTGACCTATAGTTGCACGAGGGTCCTTGACATTTTCTTACCTCCCGTTTTTATACTTTTTTCCCCACTTTTTACCTCTTCCCTCTCTTCTGCTTATACTGCCAACCTGTATCTTTTGGATAAGTTTATTATATACGATCTAATAATGGCTAGAGATGATCCTATCCTCACCCCTGTTGAAATGTTAATAAAAGTTCCTTAAAACTGAAAAGCCCTAAGACATGGGTCTCCAACTGGCAAATGTTAATCAGGCAGCCCAAAGATGGGCTATATTTTAAGTCCTCTCCTCTGCTCTGCAAGCCATACCGTATACACAGAGTCAGAGCAAAAAGGCCAAGCCAGTCAGACAACTGACCAGGGCAACAATCTACAAAGAGCATAGAAATATCCCTGGAGATGCAGTGAGACGAAGGAAATCGAATTTATCTGAACTCCCATCATGGGGATTTCTGTCTGTAGTTGGAAAGAAAGCTTAATAAGCTGCTGGATCCCATTTTGAAGGGGAGTGTGTCTAATGAGCTGCTGGCTGGTCTCTGCGAGCTTAGAGGCAGAGATGAAGTAAGACCAAGGGAGTTCCACCAGGTACCAGGTCCCCTACAGCAGTCTTTCCCCTGGCGGCATTGGGCCTGCATTCCAAACAAATGTTGGACAGAGTTTTAAAGAATATTGGTTAGAAAGGATGTTCACTTATAGCCTGCCTGAGTTTTCATGTGTCCATCTCTTTTCATGGGCCGCCTACTTGGAATACCAACCCTAACTTAGTGGGCCAATTGATGTCTTAAAGAACTCTTTGGTGTGGCTTCAGGAAAAAGCCAACTGGATGAAGCTGAGGAGAGCTGGGGAGGAGAAGGGTCTTTACCACCTGAGTCCATTTCCTCTGCAAGGTCAACCCAAAATTCCTTTCCCCCATGCACACGAGAGGGGGTGGCTTCACCGCCCTCCAGGGTCAGGGATCAGCTCTGTCACTAACTAGCTGAATGATTATTCGACAAGGCCCTTAACCTCTCCAGGCCTCAGTTTCCTCATGGTGAAAAAGAAACCTGAAGGTACCTCTCAGGGAGATTCAAGCTGAGTTCCTGGCAAATGCTCATGCAACAGAGAAAGAGAGCTGCTGTGCAGCATTTCATTATGCTGGTTGCTAAACTGGGAACTAAAAGCCATTAAGGAGTTGCCCTTTCCTTGATGTTTTTAAAGACGAACCACATGTTTGGGGGTAATGAGTCAGTTGTAATTACAATGCATATGCCAAGTAGAAAGTGAATTAATTACATGGTGAAACAATTAGTACTTAATTAAAATACCGTAGACTCATGTAATTTGCAAATGCCTCTATCACTGTGATTAAGTATATTTTATAACTGAGAGTCTTCTTCTTGACCGAGGTAGGCACGGAAAATATAATAGGCACAGGACACAGGTGGCAAATCAGGAACAAGGAAACACATCTGGCTGGGGGGGGTGGGATTTAAAACACTGACTTCACCCAAAGAGAGTTGTGATCCCCAAGTAAGAGGCCAGAGGACCTCACCGTGGGAGGATGTGGTAAGAGCCTGCCTGGCACCCTCATTCTCCCTGAGCACATGCCTGCCAAGGAGACCCAGCCATGCACTCTCAGGGCAACCACGGGGCGTGCTCTGCGTGTTCCTTTGCTCATCCCTCTTTCTCAGCCTCACAGAACTTCCCTGAGGAACCCTTGGCAGGAGTTTCTGTTGCAAGTTCTCTGAGGCTTGGACTCTTGTCTGTTTCTTCACTGTTGTATTCCCCCAGCCTTAGAACAGCGCCAGGCACGCAATAGACACTCGATGCCTATTTGTTGAATAAGGGAATGAGATAAGCTGAAGCGATACATTGAAGGGGAATTAGGACTGTGGACTTTATGTCCTGCCTTGCCACAGCTCCCTCTCCCTCCACCCCACCCTCCTACATGAAAGAAGGAAGGAGGAGGGCCATCTATTGAGTACCAAGTACCCTGTGCTGGGCTGGGGGCTTTACAGACACAACCCCATTTAAATGGTCCAAAAACCTGTGAGGTAAGCATTACCAATCCCCTTAGACAGGTGATGAAAGTGGAGCTGAAAGAGCTTCAGGAATTGGTCCCAAGTCACAGACCTGAAAAGGTCAGAAACCGGACTTGAGTGCAGCCCTGACTGACTCCAGAGTCCATGCCCCTGCAGTCACACCTTCTAGAAACATCCCCATTGGGTCCTATTGGGAACCGACAGAATTCGAGAGCCTGAACTGAGCTGCGTAACCAGTGCTGCCTCCAGGCTGCAAAGGGAACCCAATGCTTCAGGTTTTTTCCTCTTCTTTTCTTTGGCTTTACTAAACTGATTGGCCGTTTTTCCTTATCAACCATTCAGACCTTCCTCAAATAGCAGTGGACCTGGAGGCTGCGAAGACCAGGAAATGGGGGGAAGACCAGGGGGCGGGGTGTGCAGGAAGGCGCGTGCCTGTTGTCCTACCTGTGCGTGGTCCCCTGACCTCATCTTCTTGTTCAGCTCCCTACTGCAGCCTGCCCAGGGCTCCACTCCATGGCTTCCTCATGGGCCAGACCAGCACCCAGCCTGGAGGTTCTATCCACTTTGGCTGCAACTCCGGCTACCGCTTGGTGGGACACAGCATGGCCATTTGTACCCGGCACCCTCAGGGCTACCACCTGTGGAGCGAGGCCATTCCTCTCTGTCAAGGTGAGAAGCAGGTGGGAAGCGGGTAACAGGTGGCTCACATCTTAGGTGTGTCCCAGGACCAATCACTTCCAAATGCGGGTTTCATCACTGATCATTCATTCGTTCTTTCCGGAAGCGTATATATCGAGGAACCACACTACCTCCAGCCCAGGGGATATACATATGCATAAAGCACAGTCTCAGTGTTGTCGGAGCAATGAGGGACGTGGATATTGGCCACAAAAATGCAAAGTGACAGAGGGAGGAAGTACTGTCAGGAGTATAAGAGTGTGTGGGAGCCCCGTGGTAACAAGGGCTCTACCTGCTTCCTCCTGGGCAGCTAGTGAGGGCTTCCAGAAGGAGCATGCTTGGACTTGGGCTCATAGAGCAAGCAGGCTTTGGGACCAGGCGTGGGCAAGGCAAACATTCTAGGCAATAGCAAGAGCGTTTGTGCAAGCCAAGGACTGAGAGAGAGAACAGGACATGCAAAGCAGTTTGGGCTGGCTGAAGCACCAGGTTGGAGGAGGTGGGGGCGGAGGGAACCAGGGACAACAGCAGCCATCGTCGCACTCAGTTATCAGCCATCAAGCCCGCAATATATCCGGGCAGTTTGCAGGCATTGCCTTTGATGATTTATGGGACTTTTTTCCTTAAAGTAATATAAAATCAGCCTATAAATCGGGGGGCTGGTGGGGGCAGGACTAGATAATACAAAAGAAAAAAGTAAAAATGACCTATAATCCTGTCAATGGAGATCACCACTGTTAAGATTTCAGCACATTTCCTTTGGGTTTTGGGGGGGGGGGTTGCATATTGTTCTCAAAAGTGGCATCATCAATATACAAAATTCTCAATATTAACATCTCTCGTGTACTTAAATATACTTCCTCATCATATTTTGGGTTTCTTTTAAAGATTTTTTTATTGGGGAATCGGGAGAGGGGAACAGACAAGTTGCTGTCCTTTTGTTCTTCCGTCTAGTTGTGGAGGACATCGCTTCGCTGGCCCATGTTGGTATTATCATTGCGCTCTTCCCGGATGAGGCAGATAGGCCGCTGGCCACTGGACCACTCACTGCGGCTCTTGGCAGCTCACACTGGCTGCCAGCCACTCATGGTAGCTTACGGCAGCCCACTGCAGCTTCACTGCAGCCTACGCCATCGCCGGCGACTCACAGCAGCCCAGCTCCAGGTCGAGCTGTTGTTCACCATCTTAGCTGTAGAGGGCAGTGTCACTGGCCCCCATGTGGGATCCGAACCGGGGCTCTGCTGCTCAGAGCTGGCGTCCCAAGCCAACTCTTAACCAACGCGCCACTTGGACGGCCTCCCTCATCATATTTTGAATGGTTGCATAGCATTATGGAAAAACTCATTTCTTCAAGTCTTATCCTATTGTTGGTCATTTGAATTTCTATATTTTTTGCTACTGTAAACAGTGCTGCTATTAAAATTTTTATAATTCCATCATTCTGAACATCCATATTTATTTCTGAAAATAAATTACCAAACATGAGATGTTGAATCATAACCTATGTGAAATCTACAGCTTTTAATACTTAACGCCCTCCTGAAAGTTCATCTTCTTTTCCACGAGCAGCATGAGAAAGCTGTCTTTTCTTCCACATTCTCAACATGATGGACTGCATTTTAAAAAAGGAAAGAACTTTGCCAATTATATCCACAAAAACAGGAAATCACATTGATATTTGATGTTTTTATTCCTTGGTCCCTTGCGTGGTGCTGTACATCTTAATGACATCTGTCATCTCTGACCCTCACAACATTCTCGTCTGTGCCTGAGCTTTCTCAAAGAACAGAAACAATGTGTCATTAATATTCTGTTGGATTCCCTAAGCAAAGGTCACAGAGAACTGACTGTCCGTAAATGGCAAATGTCATTTGGCTTTGGTCTTTGTGTCTCTAATTCCATCAACACAGACAATAAGTCTTTTTTTTTCAGAGCTCCAGTTGGAACCTCCCATGTCACTCATCTCTTTTATCTGTTGTCACTTCCCCAAATGAAGCCCCTGTAGGCTCTGTCCGCTCATCCTCATATTAATCTGTGCTTCTTCTCCCCATCCCCACCCCAAGCTTCCCTCTGACGCCTCCCTCCCCCCCTCAGCCATTCCCTCTGTGCTCTCTGGATTCCTGGCTCCATGGCCAACAAGCATATACCCTTGGTCACCACCCAGAGGACTCTCTTCACTTCCTTCCACCACGGAGACTGCGGTTCTCATCTGAGAACATGGGTGTTGCGGCCCCTTCAAGTGGAGGGTGTTAATTCCCCCATTTCCAACATAACCCAAGGCCAGGAAAGACCTGACCTTCTTCTACTTCCCGATCGCTGCTTCCAAACCATGACTTCTCCACCGATAAATAAATCCCTTTGGAGAGTCTATGCCTCCTAAGGCTTTCTCTCTCCTTCCCTGAGACCATTCTCTCCCTACATATTCTCTCTCAGAGAGCATATCCCATCACAAGCTTCAAATACTTTGTGATTCTACCCCCTCCTCTCCTGCCCACAGGAAGGGTTCCTTTTATCTTGAGGTTGGGGAGATTGTGTTTTGACATGGAGATCAAGAAACAGGCTTTTAGTCTCTCAAGTCTAGGAAGTTATCTGCTGTCCTCTTCATTCTCCACAAGGAAAGGACCAGGCCAGGGCCAGTAAAAAGTGGCTGCTGCCCACTTTCCTCACCTGCTGTCTTCACATTGGCTTCCCATGCAAAATGTCAGGGGAAATCTAAGTATTTCTTCCGAAAGGGTCCAAGGAAACAGGGCAGTGACTTGATCAGATATGATAATTTGGCTAACCTAGTACCACTGAAGGAGCTCAAAGACTTCAGTTCAGGCATTCAAAGAACGTCATATTCAAATACTCCCTTATATCCTCATTCCTTCTCTTCTTGATCCTCCTCTTTTGGTCCCATGTCAGTCTTTGAATTCTTCTTCCATCTTGGCATCCCAACCCATCTCCCTCTGTACAGTTCATCTTCCCCCATGTAACGGAGCCCTAGTCCTATGCCTCTTCTTGGTTCTGGAAATTCTAGTGGCATCAAGCATCCTTGTTAGCCAGTATGGATGGGACTTTTCTCAAGCTTATTCTTGCTCTGAGTGAGGGAGGTCTGAGCCCTAGACTAGTTACAGAGGTGGGGGTAGGTGAGGGACAGCAGTTGGTACTCTGATTAATCGCTATCTGTAATAGTTCCTGAACTATCAAAGGGCAAGCATGGTTTATAAGTATTCATTTCTTTCAAAGACAGGCTACTCTTACCTAAGTAATGTATATACCTCCAATAAACACTGTATTTACCCTGCTCCATATAAAATAATGACCCTGGCTATGTAGTCACGCACCTTTCCTGAGTTGTCACCTTGAAATTCCTTTTCTTCATAATCCTGAGCTCTATCATTTTTTATATCCCATTATCTTGCCCTTTCTTGGTTTTCATGCTCTTCTTGATGGAGTATAGCCTTAAGTAACTTCCTCAGAAAGGGTTCATGAGAGATACATTTTCTGAGTCTTTCAATGTCTGAAAAGATCATTATTTTTGCCCTCACACATGCTTGGTAGGTGGACTAGGTAAAATTCTAGGTTACAAATCATTTCCTTCAGAAACGTAAAGGCATTTTTCCATTATCTTTGAACATCCATTTTTGCTGATGGGAAGCCTGATGCCAGTCTGATTCTCATTCCTTCACAGGGATGTCTTTTTTTTTCTTCTTCTTCTTTTTTGTCTCTGGGAACTTGTAGGAATTTCTGTGTGTCTTTGGCCTTCTGAAATTCCATGATGGTGTATCTAAGAATGGTTCTCTTTACATCCCTTCGGCTCCCTTTCAAGCTGGAGACTTGTGTTTCTCGTCAACTCTGGGAAATTTTCATGTGTGATAATTCCATCCCCTCCACTGTCTCTGTTCTCTCTTTCTGGAACGCTGACCCACTAGATGCTGGACCTCCTGGATTGATCCTCTGTGTTTTCAGTCCTTTTGAAGCATGTTCAGTCTCTGTCTGTTTGATCTATCTATAGTCTGGGAAATTCCCTTTAGTTTTAATCTCCAGCCCTTCTATTGAATGCTTATTTTGACAATCATGTTTTTAATTTAAAAGAAGGCTTCCTTGTTCTTTTTTGTCATTCTTTTTTCAAAGCACTCTGTCCTCATTTTATAGATACATATCTGTCACCTTGGTTTTCTCAAGGTACTACTAATCAGAAGTTTAAAGATTATGTGTCTTCAATTTCCTGAGTTAGCTCTGTTTTCTAAAGGTGACTTTTTCTTCTGTTTTTATAATCCTATATTTGTTAATGTCTTTCATGCTGCTGGTTTTCTCCAAATGTATAGTGATCCTTGATTGGTCATATTTTAAAGTAAAAGCTAGGCTGATTTTTCCAGGTAGCAGATGTGGGCTACCTTTGTTGTTACTACATACAGATATCTTTGCCCACTAGCTCTCTCCTATGAATAAGAAGTTGAGTTGAGTATGTTGCAGAGATGAGCAGGAAGGGGGCAGCCTTTAGGCTGAGAGCCCATAAATCCTAGAATTAAAAGAGCTTTACTCTGGGATGCCAGCTTACACCTTAGCAGCCTGTAATCTCCCAAGGGAGTGGTTGCATTTGGGGGTTCTTTTATTGTTGTTTTTTCTCCTCAAGTGGGAAAGAAAACCCTCTCAATTTAGTTTGGAGAACGGATGCCTGAATGCCTCTACACTGTATTTATGGGGATGGATGGAGAAGTGGTGTCACCTCAGAGCTCCCTCCACCCCATATACTTATTTTGGTCTGCAGCTTCTTGACTCCATTTAATCCAGCAACACACTTCTATCGGCATTTCACCTTCCAAAGTTTTTTTTGAACTCTCCTCTGTGGGTGACCCTCATGTTTTCTTTTTAGCTACACAGATTTTTTTTTCCTTTTATTAGCTTTTACTGTCATTGTATTAGGGTCTCAGGAAAGAGTAAAGAGAAAAAATATGTTCTCAGAAGACCACCTTGAAGCAGACATGCTCGTGACTTTCTTTTTCCCTTTGCTAGCTCTTTCCTGTGGGCTTCCTGAGGCTCCCAAGAATGGGATGGCGTTTGGCAAAGAATACACAGTGGGGACCAAGGCTGTGTACAGCTGCAGCGAAGGCTACCACCTCCAGGCAGGTGCCGAGGCCACAGCAGAGTGTCTGGAGACAGGCCAATGGAGCAACCACAACGTCCCCCCTCAGTGTGTCCGTGAGTCCTTGGGCGTTGGAGGCGGGTGTAAGGAGGGGCTGGGTAAGCAGCTGAAAAGGTCTCTGCAACAAATGTGCTAAAAACTCAGGAATGAGAAAAAACAGGTGCATGGAGGTTGGGGATTCAGGGAGCAGAGACAGGTGGGTGGTGTCACCTACCAACTTAGGTTTCCATTTGAAATTGCTCCCAAAGCATTGAAAGACGATTGAGCCCTGAGATGTTTCCATAAATCACCATAGGACTTAGGAATGACCTGGTCCACTTCTTTTTAGATGAAAAAGCTATCAGAATGTTTTTGCCCAAATGTCTTTTGATCACAAAACTCTAAAACGACAGAGAGGTACAGTTCAACTTTTAGGCCAAAATTACAAACTGGCAACTTAATAGGCCATAACCAGTTCGAAGATATAGGGTTTTGTGTTTTTCTTTTGTTTTGTTGTGTTTTGTTTTGTTTCTTTGGCCTGTGGTGTGCTTTATAAAACTTTTGAATTGCTTCCCAACACTACATTCAGGAAATTTTACATAAAAATCCATATTCTTCGCTTTTCTTAAAAAGTGAAGATTTGAACAAGTAGAACTTACAGTCTCATATCCAACAAGCAGCGTTGACTGAGGACTACCTCCCTGTTTTTTGGGGAGGTGGGGGGAGGTGCAGAACTGCCCCAGTTTGTCATAGTCTCCACCCAGCCCACTTCGTTCATCACCAAAGCTTCCTGGAGATTGAAGATTCTTGGATTCATCATTCCTGCATTGCTATCCCCCAGCCCCCAGACTCTTGCAGTGTCTTCCAGAATTCACTAACCAGCCCTCCTTGCTGCTCCCTGTCCCCCAGCGGTGACCTGCCCCGATATCAGCAGCGTCAGTGTGGACCACGGCCGGTGGAGGCTCATCTTTGAGACGCAGTACCAGTTCCAGGCCCAGCTGATGCTCATCTGCGATCCCGGTTATTACTACACTGGCCAAAGGGTCATCCGCTGTCAGGCCAATGGCAAATGGAGCCTTGGGAACTCTATGCCCACCTGCCAGAGTAAGCCCAGGAGGGTGGGCAGGTTGGGCACAGAGCCTCCTACCTGGACTAGGGAGGAGGAGAACAAGGGGATGGCCAGGGATTGCGATGTACCACTTTTTTGAACACTCACCTAGAATCAGGAGCTGGGGGGATGCCTACTCTTTTAAGGACGTTCTGCTTGGCATCTTGGCATCTTACTAAAAAGCTGCCTTTGTCCAGGTGAGCATCCACTAATCCATTTATTCAATGTTCATGCCAGGTATTATAGAGGTATGAAGATAAAAGGTTGTGGTTCCTGCAGTAAAGAGTGGCAGACGAATAAGGACCCAGTGGGTGTCTTATCAATGGGGTGTGATAAGACCTGTAAAGGAAGTGTGTGTAGAGGAATGGGTAGAGCACAAGGGACAGGCCACCTAAGTGTGTCTGCCTCTTCTCCACTGCCAGTTGTTTTTCTTTGATTCTTCAAGGTAGTTTCAAAGTTCAGGGTTCCTGGGAAGCAACTCTGAGACAGAGGCTTATGAGGGAGTGCCCCCGGGAAGGGAAGGGAAGGGAAGGGAAGGGAAGGGAAGGGAAGAAGCAGGAATCAGAAGATGGAGACGTTGAGCTCTGATGCAGCAGCAGTGAAGGCCTCGGCTGCCCCCGCAGGGAGCTCTGAAGCCTGGAGGGTTGTGACAGCTGGGGAAACGGGTCTTTCTACCTCCACACTGACCAAATATTGGGCACCGGCTACCCCAGAAAGAGAGCACGACCTCAGATGGGAGGACTCTTCAACCAGGGCAATCTGAAGAGGCCTAGCAGTCGAGGGTTGTTTGCCATCAGCTGGGGAAATAAATTCTTCAGTCCTACATAGGGGCCTGAGTGGCTCACCAGAGCACCCACTGCAATAGGAAATACTCATAATATTTACCTAATCCATAAGGATGTGACAGAGGAAGTCAGTGTTTGTAGAGGGGTAGAGGGAGATACCTTGTCAATGAGCCTTTGGAAGTTTGAGACTGAGAGGAGTGGTACCTTCCCAGCACCTGTCATCCAGCACACTGTTGTCTTATGCATCCGACTGCAGACTCCACAGTGAATATGACCCTGGATGTGGCAGAGTAGAAGTCACGAACGTGTAATAGCCTATTACAGTGAAAGCACTCACATTTCAGTGCAGCCTTGGCCATCAGGCCTCACCCCGTACGTCACCCAGTGGCTGTCGACCGTGCTCCATTGAGAAGGAGTGCGAGGCTGCTGCTGGGCTCAGCAGGAAGGACAAGGACATTGGTTTGCAGTGTCTGCCCTGGACATGAAGGAGCATGCCTCAGAACTGCCATCCCTCTAGTGTGGGGGTTCCTCACCAGGCAGCACATCTGAACCACCTGAGTTTTTAAAAACTGTGCATGCCGGGCCAGAGATTGTGAGTCACAGGTCGAGAGTACAGCCTGGACATTTTAAAAGCTCCTTAGGGGGTGCTTCTAGCAGCACCTCCAGCTGAGAATCACCGACTCAGTAGTAACATCACACAAGTCACCGCCATGACCCATATTCTGGTTGAGTCCCAGGAGAGGAAGGTTAAACAGGACTTATTTTTGTCACTATTCTTGCTAATCAGAAGCAGCGTGTGTCCCCCCCACGTGGGGCTGTCTTACTGAGCACTTTGTCCTTTTAGTCATCTCCTGTGGAGAGCTCCCCGTCCCACCCAATGGGCACCGCATAGGAACACTGTCCGACTATGGGGCAACCGCCATCTTCTCCTGCAATTCCGGATACACGCTTGTGGGCTCCAGGGTGCGCGAGTGCATGGCCAATGGGCTCTGGAGTGGCTCTGAAGTCCGCTGCCTCGGTAAGTGACCTCCCAAGCCGATCCTGCCCGTTTCCCCTGCTCAGGACAGGTTAGATCTTCCCAAAGCTGGATCCTAATCTCTGAACAGTACCATTTTATCTACTTTCATAAACCGCTTAATTCAAACACCAGCTCTTGGGCATCTACCATGACTAAAACCCTACACTAGCTTTTCTTGGGGCATCCAAGAGAATGAGAAGAACTTAAAGTCTGATGAGACAAACCTTTGAGGGGCTCTCGTTCTGATCAAAAAGACAACCCTTTCTTCCTGGCCCTTGAATGATGGATGAAGCCCCGGTCTTCACCTTCAGGGCAATGTACAGAGTCACATACCTAAATTACCTTTTAGATGATATATTAGCGAACTTTACATATATGTGTATTTTACATATATAATATTTTATGTATTATATATATTATAATACAGAGCTATAATAAATTATATAACAGAAATATATTTTTATCACTTGCTTATATGGGTATATGTACACATATATGTATGTGTGTGTGTGTGTATATATATATATATATATATATAGAGAGAGAGAGAGAGAGAGAGAGAGAGAGAGAGAGAGAGAGAAATAAAAAACTCTTTTTAAAAAAACCTGGCTTACGGGCCGGCCGAGTGGCACGATGGTTAAGAACTGGCTTGGGATGCCAGAGGGCCCCGGTTCGGATCCCACATATGAGGGCCAGTGACACTGCCCTCTACAGCTAAGATGCTGAACAACAGCTCAACCTGGAGCTGGGCTGCCGTGAGTCGCCGGCGACGGCGTAGGCTGCAGCCCCTGTGGCAGTGGGTTGCCATGGGCTACCGTGTGTAGCCAGCAGCCAGCGTGAGCGGCCAGCAGCTGCAATGAGCGGGCGGCCAGAAGCCAGCGACTGATCTGCCTCGCTCGGGAAGAGCACAATGATGGTGCCAACTTAGGCCAGTGAAGCAACGTCCTCCACAACTAGACTGAAGAACAAAACGACAGCGACTTGTCTGTTCACCTTCCCCCAATTCCCCAGCACTGTTCCCTTCCCCCCAATACCCCAATAAAAATCTTAAAAAAAAAACCTGGCTTACAAAGAACAAAGTTATCATTTCCTCCATGACTGATCTGTCCCCCTCCTGCTTACACCTTAGATTCTAGGGTTCCCTCTCCTTGCACTCCTTTCTTAGACTCCTCAAGTCCAAAGGAGGATCACAGCTACACAGACTAATAGCCTAGATTGGATGGTCTGTTCCAGAGTGAACAGTGCTGCTCTTGCTCTATCTCAGGCCCCTGTTGAGTTGTTTCCACAAAGCCAAAGGATGCTAGTGGAAACGCTAGGAATACACTCTACCCAAGCTCCATTTAATAAAAATAACCCACCAAGGTTTACACTGCCTGTGTGCCTTGTCACCCAAGGAGAAGGATGAATTTAGCCAGACCACCTGTTTTGACATGGTTATTTTCAACACAACTAGCCAGGTAACAGTGATAATTTCTCACCTAGGTATAGACACAGAGACTAACGCTCAGAGATGGATAGCCATTTGGGATGCATCCTTGGGCTTTGGGGTTGCAGTCTTCAACACCATTTTCTAACATGTCTAGGATTCCTAAAGCCACTCCTGGATGGCTCCTCTCAGGGGGAGGTGGGAAAACAATGGGTGGCTGGGTACTCGGTCCTTTTCCCCACCATCCCTGTCTCCCCGCACCCTGACCAAGCCCCACCACCTTTTCTCTAAGCTCCTGTTTGATTTATGCTCTTTCCCCATCCCCCACCACAGCTGGACACTGTGGGACTCCTGAGCCCATCGTCAATGGACAAATCAATGGGGAGAACTACAGCTACCGGGGCAGCGTGGTGTACCAGTGCAATGCTGGCTTCCGGCTCATCGGCATGTCTGTGCGCATCTGCCAGCAGGATCATCACTGGTCGGGCAAGACCCCTTTCTGTGTGCGTAAGTATGTTATCCACTCTCCCTAGTCACGGGCTCAAATTCAACATGGACTGTCTCCTTTCTTCTCTTGATTAGGCTAGCTAGAGGTTTTTGCATAGTTTGTTAATTTTTTTCAAAGATGCAATCGTTACATCTATTGATTTCAGTTTTCTGCATATTTCTGCACTAATTATTGCTCTCACCTTCATTAGTTCCTACCTTGTGATTTCTTTTGGTTAACTTTTTGGTTAATTTTCTAGCTATTGAATTGGGAATTTAATTTGTTGATTGTCTTTCGTTTTTATTGATCATTATGGATATGTTGAGGCTATGAAATTTCTTCTGACACTACTCTAATTATATCCTGTAGATTATAATAATTAATCTTTTATTATTTATTAGAAATTCTGTAATTTTGCTATTTTTTCTTTCACCTAGAATTTTATTAATAGAAGAGTATTGGGTGGGGTTTTTTTAAATCCAGGTGAAAGGACCTTTTTAGTTTTTGTTTTGTTATTAGTTTCTAATTTTGCATTATAATAATATTACTACTTTGTAGATTTACTGATGCTTTCTTTATAGCATAATATTTGATCAGTTGTTATGAGAGTTCCATGTGCATTTGAGGAGAAAGGGTATTAGGGTGTAAAATTCTATATATAGTCTTAAGATGTGCCTTCTTGATTATGTTGTTTATGTCTTATCTACACTTATTTATGTTTTGTTCACTTGACCTGTTTTGTTCTGAGAAATGTTTTCTTTTAAGTTTTCTATTATTAGTGTACTTCTATCTATTTTCCCATACATATCCTGTAGTTTCTTCTACATAAAGGTAGTTGCTGTGTTATTTGGTGATTAGATATTCATAATTGTTATATTAATATCTATATTGCAAATTGTGGTGTTAGCCTTTTTAAATGTCTTCTTTGTCCATTTAAATAATTTTAGCATGAATTGTACTGTGCCTGATATTAGGCTTACATCCTTACTTTCATCCTTATCAACATAATAAACAACACTTTGTACTTATAAAATTTTAATACTACTAGCCTCCCATTTTTTTTAGTAGCCTCCCATTTTTTATTTAATCTTTTATTATATAGTTTATCAATTTTTAAAGTATCCTTTGACTTTCATCTATTGCCTGTACAACAATCAATGAACTTATTCTACTTTCCTTGTTCTTTTCTCCTTCCATTTTTAATTGTATTATTTTTACTTTGTCAGAACATAAAATGTTCATTATAGTGTTTATATAAAATCATCCTGCCCTTTCCCCTATCTGTATTTTACTCCTAAATCTACAATTAAATATATTAAAAATTCATCAGTGCTGCTGAAGTTTCCCCAGTTACCTCTTAGTTGGGTCAATCTCAGTCTCTAATAGATTCCTCAATAGAGCCTCCTTTGCTTAATGTTCCCAAGTCTCGCATGTTAAAAACTGTTTTTCTGAACCTTAAAACTTAAAGGATAGCTGGATTGGATATAAAATCCTTGGTCACTGTTTCTTCCTTTGACTTTCTTAAAAATGCTCCTCCATCATTATTTGCTTTGCCTGTTACTCTTAAGAATTCAAATATTCATTTAATTCTGTTGTTCTTATAAGTTATTTGGTAGCTTTTCTGGGGGCCCGGATGATTTTTTTTCTTTATCCTTGAAGTCTAATATTTTTACTAGGCACATGCTAGGATATGCCAGAATTGACTGTTCCAAGACCATTTCTCCAGGTACACTGTGGACCTTTGAATTTGTAGATTCAAATCTTCTTTTATTTCTGAAACGTTTTCTCAGATTATAGTTTTAAACACTAATTCAAACCCACTGTTTTGTTTTCCTTCTAAATCAACTCCAATTATGTGTATGTGGAATCTTCTTTGCCTGTCTTCTTTTGTTGCCTTTTCCTCTCTGATCATTTTTACTTCTTTATCTCCTTTTAATTCCCTTGGTTGTTTACCTGACCTTGTTCAACACCTCCTAGAAAATTCCTATGTGATAGTATTCTCCCTCTTATAATCTAGTCTTCATTTTTGAGATAATTTTGTCTTTTTCTTCAGTTGTTTCCTGCATGGAATCAATTATCTTTTAATTTCCTCCCACGTTTTGTCCGTTTCTTTAGTTTTATTTCATGTGTTTTGTTTTAGTGAGGAGATTTTCATCAGCTGAGATGTTTTGATTCCTTCCAATTTTCTTCTCATTGTAGCTTTGTATCAATTTAGGCAGATGTTGTCTATTCATATTGTGGCTTTAGGGTGGTTTAGGAGAGTACCCTCTTCTGATAGTGTAGCAAAGTATGGTTGTTTTGTTTTTTAATAGAAAGCTCTCTTTTATGTGATAAGGGAGAGTTGTACACCTGTTTTGTTGGTTTCTCTTTTGTCTTGCAGAACCCTAAATTTTCCCCCTTTTGCTGCTTTTTCTCTTTGTTAACCCATCTCCAGAGGATATCTCTTCTTTATCGCAGTGTCCCTCCCTCCATTTTCCGCTCCCTCCATTTTCCCCTCCCTCCTTTCCTTCCTTTATTTACCTTTCTTTTCTTCTAGAAGCAATGAGGAGAATCACACACACTTTTATGTCCCTTTCCTGTAGTCAGTGCATCCTGACATATCAGAATCCTTTTTCTTTTTTTTTT